ACAGAGACGAGAGGAGGGTGGGGTGAGGGACAGAGACGAGTGGGGTGTGGGACAGAGACGAGGGGAGGGTTGGGAGAGGGACAGAGCAAGTGGGGTGAGGGACAGAGACGAGGGGAGGGTGGGGTGAGGGACAGAGACGAGGGGATAGTGGGGTAGGGGACATGTTCTGAGGGAAACGTTGTCAAAAACTTGACTATAACAATCAGCCCGAATCCAGCTGTTTAAAACGCTCTTCTCTGTCATCAAACCACATAATGATTGATTGAAATGCCTGCGTACATACACATCTAGACACATGGTTCAGCGATCCATACACTTCACTAGACGTATTTTTAAAATACCTTGATACCTTGTTTAAACAAAATGCAGTCTAATCACACGTTGTTTACTCAGTAAATAAGTTCTAGATGCGCACCTGTCACCACAGGGCCCCGAATCCAGTGAACTAATATATCCAAGTAGAAATAGCGTATAACAATGCAAAAGGACGGAGAAAGAGCGAGTTTTACACATATGCCCCTTTTTGATCGGCAGTTACATAGTTGAACAATACTACCGTATCCCTGTCTTGTTTATAAGATATCTTCTAAATTAATAACGATATCTCATTTAGTTTAGAACACAGGGCTCGGTTTCAGGATTTTGGTTAATATATGACGATAATTGTAATAATTTCGGTTAATAATACAAGTTTTCTTTAGATCAAATTCTTTCCTTGACTTTCCTTGGGACAACCAAGCGTACTCTTGTCCTTAACAGAAATCGAAATACAATAGTCCACTTGATTGTTCTCAGTATCGAGGGACAAATAGTCTGGTCTATTGCATACACAACTGATAAATAAATGTTTTACTTCCTTAGCATTGTTTTTTCTTGCATTAACTCAGAACAAAAGTTATTCCAAATATGCAAATTAGGAGGGAAAATCAAAATATTCCTTAAGTGTGCACGTGACTTAAGGGTGCAATAACTAGATCGATGCGGTAATAAAGACATATTCCGAAAACGTGCAATGGTCAGATTTAAGCAAGAACAATTGCATACGTAGTATAGATTAACTACGTGAAGTGAATTTAGGTTAGACCTCAGAACTTAATGTGTCATTTGTATCTATGCAATCAAAGCTCGTGACTAAGAACTCTGATACATGTATTACATTCAGTCTTCGGATATCTCGAACACTCTTTTTATCTCAAATATATTCATAATTCTAACGACTCGTAATAACGAGGTTGGGCTGTATGTTACAGATATCCTACTCCTTCATACCAGACAGTCCAGCACCCAAACAACAGTACAACTTGAGCAGTCGCTTGTAAACCGACACACGTATGTCTTCAGGACCAGACGGTGCTAATACTTTCTTTGTATATATTTGTTCTCGGGTTTTACTATAGAAAATGATTTGAATAGCTTTTAAATAGAATCGTCTACCCACCCACCCGTATGTGTACCTAGTCAGGTGTAAGTATAAGTGTGTACCGAGACTAGCTCTGGTCGGCTATATCCCTCACACACGTATCGCTAGGTGTTGGTCGATATGAGGAGCAGCACCACACCCACAACATGCATACATTAGTCACTGTAGTTATTATAGATAGTGACATAAGTTCTTTGTTATGAAATTGTTCGAATAATAAAGTAAGCATAAAAGAAATCGTCAAAAGGCATCAGTCCAAATGCTAAGTCCAATATGGGGATCGATTTGGGTTACAACTCCGAATTTCAGTATATGATGAAAAATTGTAAAACCACAAGATATTAAAACAAAATGCGACAGGTTTTAAGATTACAGTAACAACTAGCAGTATAATGTTACCAATCGTTTTCTTAAGGTAGTGTATTCATTATTGCTCATGAATGATTTTATGGAACTTCCGGTTAGGTCACTCGGGCTTTCCAGGCTTTATTAATGTTTACTGATCGACTCGAAAGGTTTGAGTGGCTTAGGTCATGGAGGAGTGACACACCTGTACAGCATTCGACTGTGGTCGGTCGATGTTCGTTTAATGAGGTATCCTGTAATATGAATATTTTAAGAAGGCGAGCAACTTCTATTTGCGCGAAGACAACATGAGCCCAGTTTATCAGAACCACATTCTTGTTGTTACGAAGAGAAGCAAATAAGCGCAACTTTAGAATGTCGTTCATCTCAATATAGTTTCACAGGCGGATTTGTTTTTGTTAGTTACAATAGTACAAAAGTCCAATTTTCATTCAGTATCTCATATGTCTCGTATAACTGTGTAAAAATTATCCAGAGTCACATGATGTGAATCTTTCCTTCTGGTCTCTTTAATGACTCGAGTTATGCCTAGTTTATGATCAAAAGTTTGCCTACAGCAACTTTACATATCA